CTCTACTGCTCTCTAGTGCCCAGTATGAAAAACACATGTTTAAAGCTCAATGAGGCAAATGCGGTTCCTTTCCTGTTGTTAATTTTTGAGGACGCATATATGGGCCATGCACAGTTCCTCAGACTGTGTCCACTCACAGACCACTCTTGGCCATCTCTGAATGTCTATCAAAAAGATCAAACACAAGGAAGAAAACTAGGGTGCATCAAAGCTGAGAAAGGAAGGAATTTCTTGTCAAAAACTACTGATGCTAGTTAAGTAATGACTGTGATGAAGAATCAGTCTCTATACTCGATACCTACCCTATAATTCAAATTCAACGTAATTTGGGTTGGGATAGCAACTGCATACCTTCACAATGGAAAATATTGATCTCCTTACTGCAGAAAGCTGGTGAAGACACTTGTCAGCCAATGAGGTTCTTCAGACATGTACATGTAAGCATTTGCTTTCTAATGACATCCTAGGATCTCAGATTATGTTTTAAAATTTCTTCTCCTTGGATTCAGAGAATCCAGTTCATATTTTGCCTGCACAGTTATAGCAGAGATAAATGTAGAATGGCCCTCACGTCACTGACAGCACCATCCTAAGCAGACTTACACCCTTCTAAGTCCACTGAAGTCAGCGCATCTGAATTTTTAAGCAATTATAGGAATCCATACGATTTGTATTTCAAGTGATCATTCTTTGCAACATATCCTTTCTGTGGTGTGTGTCTGTGTGTACACCTTTAAGCGAGCCCCCAAGAGCTAGTTTCTGTTTCGCGCGCCGTACAGACCACCCCAAAAGAGCCAATGTGCAGAGAGAGAGACCTCCGCCGAAGACGCCGTCACCCGGACACAGCAAAAAGAACCAGCCAGAAAAAGAACACAGAAGAAGACCATTGCTGCGTAGGTGCCTGATAAGGTATTCACCCTCCCCCTTGCATTGTGGCCCTAGCTAGGCAATTAAATGTCTATGTAAAACTGCTCCGAGCCTCCGGGAAGGAGCGGTATAGAAGTCTAATATGTATGTATGTATATGTATGTTTCCTCCCTCAAAACCTGTATAGGTTTTGTATACCTGTATAGTGTGTGTCTCAGTATTCTTCATATATGTGTAGTTATCCTCCCAGTTGGAAGCAATAAAGAGATGTTTTATTGAAGCCACCAGAATCTCTAGTGTGTTGGCTAGAGATTGTGCAGGTCTGAAGGGTGATCCAATAGGTAAGCTTACCTCTATCCACTACACCTTAGAGAATATCACACTAAGTGTATCAATTGATGCTGAAAGTGAGTTCAGGACAATTAAACATTTGCACCCACTTACCCAACTGCCTCAAGGTATCTCAGCTTTCAGTCTTGGTGCTCAGCAGCTTGCACGGACCTCCTGCACATTCATTCAACTCAGTGACATATGTAAAGTAGCAGCTGCCAGAGCACAGATGAGAAGATGATTCAAAATCAAGAAAAAGAAGTGCCTGAAGAAGCAAGTTTAAATGCAGCCTTGGTATCATCACATTTGAGATGCATTTATGTAGATGACAGAACCTGTAGCTTATCAATAGTTAAGATCTGAGAGGCTTCTTCCTTTTTTTTTTAAAGGTGCCAAGAGTCAGCTTAAGATGGGCAGTAGACAGCAGTGAGAATGGTCTCTATGTTATGCATGGATGTGATCAGTGGTTATCTGTAACCTCCGATTTAAAGCCTTTGCCCTGAAACTATTTGTACTTCAGATTATTTTGAAATTTAAACTTCAAATGAACATATGGTTATATCCTTTTACAAAGCAAACAGTAGCACTTCCCACATACAGACGGCATTAATAAATTTGCAGTAAAGTTTGCTTTGGTTAATAAGTTCAGCTTCTAGTTAATAAGTGACGAATGTCAGACTGTTCAATTACAGCAACTGTAAGTGCTTGCTGAGCTGAGATATCACAGATGTACTCTTTGCTAGTTCATAAAGCATATCTACCAGCTGCAAAGGGGATTCAGCTCCAAGCTAAACCAGGTATGGCAAGTGCAACCAGGCAACCAGGTTTTTAATTTTGGAATTTTCTTCATGCAAGGTATAATTTTTAAAACTTGCCATTTTCTCACACGGAATGTGTTCCAACTGCAACTCTTTTCTACTCAGTAACAATATTGTCTTTCCTTTCTGAGTCTGAAAGCCACTTAACACCATTTCTCCAACTGGAAGGAGTCTTTTCCCAATAGTATCGCTGTGGAGACTGTTCATGTGAACACAGTGATCTGGAGTGATCAGTTTTCATGCTCCCCACAGTTTTTCCCAGGGGCCTTCAGTAAAGGAGCAGGTACTTAGTGCTATAGGGAGATGCTTAGTAATGAGAACAGGTGTTTCATGTGGTATGAATTCTTCTATCTACTCGCCATTCATTTAACTTCCTTTCCCTTGTATTTATACATTCATAATGCTGTAATCATCTCTAGGCTGTAATCAGCTCTAGGCCCCATCATATTAAGACTTTTCTATAGTACCATGTCCATAATTAACAGTAATGTCTGCAACAATCCTGTGGGCAGCCATGGCGATCTATGTAAACCAGATAAATGCAACCATTTGAGAACATAAGAGAAGCCATGTTGGATCAGGCCAATGGCCATCCAGTCCACCACTCTGTGTCACATAGTGGCCAAAACCCAGGTGCCATCAGATCCACCAGCAGCCCCAGAATTCCAGAAGCCATCCTACTGTTGCCCCCCAAGTACCAAAAATATGGAATGTAACTGCCACATAGTGTTCCATCTATACCTTGTGGCCAATAGCTACTGATGGACCTCTGCTCCCTGTTTATCCAATCCTCTCTTGAAGCTTTCTATGCTCATAGCCGCCACCACTTCTTGCGGCCCAGAATTCCATGTGTTAATTACTCTTTGGGTGAAGTACTTCCTTTTATCTATTCTAAGCTTACTCAGGCCTGTAGCCAGGATTTCGTAATTGGGGGGCTTTAAATAAGACGGGGGGAGCATTGACAACACAAAACAAAAAAATTAAATTTTAAAAACTCATGCTCGCCAGTTGGAGCAGGCAGGTATTCACCCCTGTTCACTCCCATCCAGTAGCCCTGCAGCCCATTCACACCATGGCTCATTGACATCACCATGTGGTCTGCCATGGGAACCTGGGCACCCAAAGGTGGCAGCGATCCCAAAAGCAGCTTGCAAAACAACAAATGCATGTGGTAGGAGCCTCACAGTCCTCCCTGGTTCTCACTGCCCTGAAGAACTTAGCATCATCTGCAGATTAACCCTGCAGTACCCCACTGCTTACCACCTTCCGCTGTGAAAACTGCCCATTTATACTGACTCTGTTTCCTGTTAATTAACCAGTTTTTAATTCACAAGAGGCTTTGTCCTCTTATCCCATGACTGCTGAGTTTACTTAGGAGCCTTTGATGAGGAACTTTATCAAAAGCTTTCTGGAAGTCTAGGTAAACAACATCTACTGGGTCACCCTTGTCCGCATATTCATTCACTGCTTCAAAGAGTTTGGTGTAGTGGTTAAATGCACGGACTCTAATCTGGGAAAATCAGGTAAAATCAGGTTTGATTCCCCACTCCTCCACATGCAGGATGACCTTGGGCAAGCCATAGTTCTGTCAGAGGTGTTCTTGAAAAGCGCAGTTCTGTCAGCTCTCTCAGCCCCACCTACCTCACAGGGTGACTGTTGTGGGGAGGTGAAGGAGATTGTAAGCCACTCTGAGTGAAGGGCAGGGTACAAATCCAATCTCTTCTTCTTATAAAAGGTTAGTGAGACAAGATCTTCCCTTATAGAATTCACGCTGATTCTTCCTCAGTAACTTTTGTTCATCAATGTGCCTACTAATTCCATCTTTAATAACCAATTCCACCAACTTACCTAGTATTGACATTAGATTGACCAGCCTGTAATTTCCTGGATCTCCACTAGAACCATTTTTAAAGATGGGGGTTACATTGGCTCTTTGGGAATGAAGGCAGATTTTAGGAATTGCATATTTTTTTCAGGAGTTCCACAAGTTCACATTTGAGTTCTTTTAGAACTCTTGAATGTATGCCATCTGGGCCTGGTGATTTGTTACTTTTTAATTTGTTCATCAATTGTAAAACCTCATCTCTCATCACCTCAGTCCAACTAAGGTCATTTGATACCCCTCCTGAAATCAGTGGTTCTGGAGAGGGCAAGCAACTCCCACCTTCCACAGTGAAGAAAGAGGCAAAATATGCATTTAGCTTCTCTGCCATTTCTCTACCATCCTTTGGTAATCCTTTTTTCCGTGGTCATCCAATGGCCCTACTACCTCCCTGGCTAGTCTTCTGCTACTAATGTATTTGAAAAATTTTTTATTGTTGATCTTTATGTTTTGTGCAATATGAGATTAACATAGTTAGCAGTAAACTGCAGTGGAGAACACTGGCGTTATTGGCCCACTTTGCAGATGGGATGAACGACTCTGCAAAACCATAACAACACTGAACATTTCATCTTGTCACCACCAATAGCTTCACATTTATTGAACTATATTTGCATGAGACATGAAGGCAGTAATAAAATATCTGTACACTACATCTGTTAACAAATATAGAGTATCTCAAGTGCCTGCACATACTCTAATGAGGATATATCACACTTCAAGCTGTAAGTGCAGACAACAACATAATTCAAACACTGATTTTTCCAGTTATTGTACTTTACCCAAGTAGCATGTGATAGTAATTATGATACCAAGAACTTTTTCTCTAATTAGCATATATGTACTGGAATACCTTTCTAGAACACCTAAAGAAAATCCTTACTCTATTTGGGTCTCGATCTGAAGGAAAGCTGTGTTTCACATTCTTCTAACTTAAAAAAAAAAAATTGAGCAGCAACCATTAAATGTCTATCCTGAATATTTCATAATGAAGCCATCTTTCTAAGCCATCATCTATTTTTTTTTTTTACTTGAAAGGATTTCAACTTCCTTCAACAAATTAAAAATAAACCACTGCGCTTCAGGCATAAAATCCAAAAATCAGAATTTGCAAAAACTAACATATTGGTTAGATTTCATACTTCATCTTGGAAAAGTTCCTTTTGCTTATGGAATTCTTAACCAAATGTTCTTTAGGAAATATTTTTACCAAGGAAAAAGAGGCTAGGGGACAGGTTCTGCAAGATCCCCAAACCTTTTCTTTTGTGGGTTGGGCTCATTTTTAAAAACAACAACAGTGCTTCCTAGTAATAATGACGGAACCACAAAGCACTCAAATTTCTGTGTCATGGAGGCTAAACAAAGCTAGTTCTAAGTGAGAGCAGTACTTCTTGGCTTGGCATTGCCCTCACTCTGAAGCAGCTTTATTTGTCTTCAGTAAGGCTTGTAATGGAGTGTTCTTGCCATTACCTGAATGATACATGTGGAGAAGTCAGCCAGTACCACAGAGAGTAGACAAATGGACTAACCAGGTATAAGACTGCTTTGTGTGTTAGACTATAATAGGTATAAGACTGCTTTGTTCCTTCATTGCCTTCAAGATCCTAGTTATACTCATTGGATGGACACGTCTTATTCACTGGGTTGGTTTACTCATAACTGGACATACATGACACTAAACTACAAAATGAAAAACAACCCCAATTGGGGCAATGACTGCAACAAGAGGCTTTCTAGTATTTGTCCAGAGTAATTCCAAGAAAGCTTATAAATACATTTCCAAGTGGACCAGTGATTGGGAACAGAACTTAGACTAAGGTGCTGCCTCACCAGCTAATTACAGTATATTCATATATACCACAGATTAAAAACAAAACAAAAACCCAGCAGGCACAGACAGATAGCCATCTGAATCTCTGAAACCTCAGCCTGGCTGTGCCCTAGTGGTTTTCCTGCTCCCCTTAGTTAGTTGTGGCAATTTGGTTGTCTTTGACATTTGTCTCGAAAAAACACAAGGGTTTTTGTGCAGGCATGCTGTAACTACAGTAGACTTTTGCACACATACATCCTGCCTGAAGATGGCCTCAGTTTCAATACCTGCTATTTCCAGCTAAAGGATCGTAGACAACAGGATTTAGAATTGGAAAAGACACGTATCAAAGGTCCTGAAAAACCTTCAGTTCTCTGTTTGAAGAGAAATAGACTGTATGCTTGCTTTCTCAGGGTTGTCAAATAATAGCGTGAACAGGTGCTTTGGTACCATTGCCTTTATATTAGCATTCTGGAATTAAATGCAATCACATTACCGTCTTCTTTCTCTACAGCCATGCATTTTGAAAAAGAAAAAAAAACCTTGCAGAGTCAGATCCTACAGCTATTTCTGCCAGCACATGAATCAGGGCAGGGGGAGGGAAATTCTTGCTGATTCCCCTTCTGCAGATCCCCACATTGTACCCATTGTGGTTCCTGGTAGTTCCCTGCATCCAAGGGCAGCATTTGGAGGGGCAAGAGAGACTTCAGGGGGAATTGCATTCCCCAAATGGAGCTCTGCGAAGGATTGTTGGATCCAGCCCAATATTTTCCTTAGCAACTGGTCAAGTCAGTTGAGGACACAGAAGACAGGTGGGGGTGGGGGTGGATCCTACTGTTATCCTCCCACACCACTGAGCCAAATTTGAAGCTCTCCTCCAGTTTAAGTGGCTCTTTAGCACTTTAAACATTTTATCAAGTAATAACAGCCACAGAAAGTAGCTTGTCAATTCAGTTTCAGTGTTTGGTGCATGACTCCTAGCAGGAGCAAAATTTAATCAGACTTAAAAAAAAATGTTTGAGAGATTTGTCTGTTTTTGGAAGTCAACACTGTGGTTAATTGATACTTACAAATTATCCAAATGGAAAGACTGGCAGAGCTGATTATTTTAAACAGAGAGTTTTAAAACAGAAATATGCTTCCTATGCTTCCATATTACTAAAAATTCCTTTGAATGCTTTCCCTCTTTTTATTCAGTTCCGTTCCTACAGTAATTTTATTATTGCTGCTCAAATTCCCATCATTGTTCTACACTAGAGAAGTCAGTCAGTATAGTTTGATGGTAAGACAATATTTCTACTGTGTATAAAAATAAGATCATTTGTTCTTCTTCATTCGTGATGTCAAACAGCCCGCCAGCTGCAAATAGCAAGAGACACTACATAAAACATTTCCATTCCCTTTGCTACATGGAATGTGGATAGAGTAATTGTGCCGACCCTAAATCTTTGTAGAGAGAGATCAGGAGAGAACAGTGAGTGTGACAGTTCCTTTTGTCCTTTTTAGAATAGCCACAGCTTCTTCATGAGTGACCCCTTCCAGACTCTGCCCGTTGACAGCTATGATCTGATCCCCTCTCTTCAGACGTCCATCTTCTGCTGCTGCACCCTGCAATGACAGAGTAACCAAATACTGGCTCACAAAAAGGTTTGCTAGATCACCTGACTGGAAGCTTCTCATATAGCAGTAAAAAAAAAGAGTCATCAGCAATGTGACTCTAAGCAGGTATCAGTAGGCTTAGAAGAGCAGGACTCTGTTTACATTCGCACTGCAAGCAAAGCAGATTGACTCTAAAAAGATTTTTTTGCCCCAATAATTAAAAAGTTAAGATGTTAAGCCAGCCTACTGATGCGTCTCCCTAGATGGGAACTCTCAATAGGTCAAAGACCTGCATCTGAAATGCTAATATGAAATACTAATAATATCATTCCATACTGACACATACCTTTGCAAATACTGTCTTAACATAAATGGGCAGATCACCATGAGGGCTTCCGTAACCTCCCACAATACTAAAACCCAGCCCATCAGGTCCTCGGTCCAGAGTGATGGTTTTATACTGTGGAGGTCTGTAATACAAGAAAGAAACTGATCTTCCTATGTGTTCAAAGTCTAGCACAACCATTTTAAAGTACTTAATTATTAACATACCAAATAGGCATTTAAACACTGAGGCGTATGGGTGCTCAAGCATCACAATTTCACTATGTATCTGAAACAGTTTGTTCAGTTAATCAGCTCAACTCAGACAGTCTTTGCTATCTTTGTCTTCAGTCAATATAAATGTATTTTTTCCACAACCTAAAGTGGAGGAGGGTTGGGTCTCCTTCCGACTACAAGTTGTAAGTACTTACAACTGCAAGTAAAACATATTTCCCAGTGCAGCAAATCTTGCTCTTTCTTTTTTCTTTCTTTCCCTGCACTCCCAGTACAATTCTCTTGAGTTATCTTCCATTTAAAGTACTTATCAACATGACTAACTGCTCTAGTGTGAGTGAGTATGGGTGTTCACTGGAAAATGGTAAAAAGGAAAAGGTCATCTCCAATTCTCCAAGGGCTGTGGTCTCAATCCCACCCTCCCACCTTTCCAGTAGAGATGGGAGAACTGATAATGAATCTCACTTTTTTCAGCCCTCAGTGCAAGAATTATAGCTAAGTTGTAGAGTCATTTTGTTCTGTGCAGATTTCAAATAGATTATCTTACAGTGGTTCTAGCAGCAATGACAACTCATCAGACTCAAGCCTAAGATTCTAACTATGGATATATGTACTCACCCCAAATCATCCTGGAAGATATTGCTTGATGTTAGTCCAGCAAATGAAAGACTAGAAGGTGGTGGATCTTGCTGCTGGCCAGTTATGACACTGACATCTCCACCAGCTACCACCTGTGGATTCATTTTAAATATTAAGGAAGCAAGCAAACAGCGTATCATATGAAACAGCATGCTGAGAACAGCAGCATAATACCAAGAGTTCCGTTAAAAAAGAAAGGAGGGGGATGGAAGAGGTCATGGAATGCCAAGTGACTTGTGTTTCCAATGCTCGCATTTGTGTTTTGTAACATCCAAAGTGGTGACTGTGCATTTTCCCTATAGTGAGATGCATGAACTTCAGATACATGTGGAGCTTGCGTAAGGAAAAAGATGCAAGTCCCTACTTCAGATGTCGACCAGGGGCTCAGGCTTCCATATGTAAATTATGTAAAATGCAGATCTAGTTCCCTATGGAGCAAACAATATAAAACAGGAGGGGGGAGTAAACCAGTGATGTTTTACGAACCAGATTATTTATGACTCTCAAGCAAGACTAATAGTGTCTTGCTTTAGACACCAGCAAGGATGTTTCTCTGAAAGTGAACAGGCTTTTGTAGCAGGAGATATAAAGGTTATGGATTAATGAACTAAATTCTTCAAGCATCTGTGCCTTCTCTTGTTCATTCCATCAAATGCACCTATAGACTGTATAGTTTTAGAAGATGCCACTAGACCTTTTTGCTTTTCCCCTTAAGCCTGATTCTGGTTATTTTCTTGTTTGGGTGAATAATGATTTGTTTGTGTATTCTGAGGGTGATTTCCCACAAGTGCTGCTCCGCGCTCACTCTTCTCTTTGGCCCGGTGGTACGTGTCAATTTCACACACGCTGCTGTGTGGCCCCATTTTGCCCCGCAGCTTCACGCGATTTTCCCCGAGTCGACTCAATCCCGGTCACAATGAGTTTTCTATCCAGCTTAACAAGAGAAGGTTGACCTTCAGGTGAATGCAACTGCACAGTTGGCTCACCACCCAAAATACGTACCTCTGGATTCACCCTTAATAGATTGCTCTGTAGGGCTGTGGTGGCTCAGAGGTTAAGAAGCTGAACTGCAGACCAGAAAGTCTGTAGCTCGGCAGTTCAAGACCCGAGTGCCACATGACAGAGTGATCTCCTGTCTCTGGCCCCATCTCCTGCCAACCTAGCAGTTCGAAAGCAAGAAATTGCAAGTAGATAAATATGGAAATAACAGCATTCTGTGTGCCTTGGCATTTAGTCATGCCAGCCACATGACCACGAAGGTCTTCGGACAGCGCTGGCTCTTCACCTTGGAAACGATGAGCACCGCCCCCCAGAGTCGGATTCGACTGTCTTTCACGCAAGGGAAACGTTTACCTTTACTTTGATTGCTCTGTATGTTATACAAAGGCTAACCACTAAGGAGATGACTATGAAGAAAATGGGTCACATCTGTAAAGCCTCTGCTTGTACCCCCGGTTTTCAGAATGTCTGATTCCTTTAGGACCTCTGGGTGGCAGTGGAAACCATTTCCAACTTTCGGGCAGAATGCATGTGAAGATTCATGATATTTATTTACTCGCTTTTTATGTTTAACCTTCCTCTCCAATGGAGACCCAAAGTGGCTTAGACTGGTTACCAAGGATGCTTCCATGGCAGAGTGGGAATTTGAATGTGGGTCTCCCAAATTCTAGCCTGACACTCTAATTACTACACAGTTCTGGTTCCCTACATGCCGGTGTCAAGTATGACTCGCTGGTGTGACAAAATTTAAATGGCCTAGGCTGCAGTCCTAGCCATATGTGCAAGTGGGGAGGAAGCAGCACTTCTGCAGCCAGAGGCTTTGCAAATTTAATGCAACTGATCACACAGCAGAATAGACATACATTTTAAAAAGACCAGATGACCAACTGCTATAAACACTTTCAAAATAACTCCAGTGGTGTTCTCCCCATCATGAATATGGCTGCCTGCAACTGCAGCCCAAAGCTACTTCCAGAGACAGGTTGATTATAAGCATCCAGTTGTTAATGTATGTGTCCTTGTATGTGTAGACTGCAGCCGATAAAATTAAAATCTTCTCCAACATTAGTAGGTCTCCAGTCTTGAAAACAAAGCAGGAATCAAAGTTCTGAGAAGTACCGTAGGCAAAACCTTCTATTTTACCTGTATTTCAATAGTGCCCAAAGCATTTTTTAGCAAGCTGACAGCCTGGGAATGTGTCATGCCTTCTGTGGATGTTCCAGAAATGCTAACAATCCTGTCCCCGACCTGGAATATCAACAAGCAGGAGAAATAAAATATCAGTATTACTAGGTAACACTTCAAGGACATTAGTGAAGGAGGACTTTTATTTCTTGTCTGTATTACGATGCAGAATTCAAACTACTTCTTTAGCACAGGTAAAGCACCACAGCTTCATTTATAGCAGCAGAAAAATTCTAGCTCACATTTCCCTGCACTGAATAAACTGTGATGACAGCACTGCTGTGGCTATACCATCACCAAAAAAGTCTCAAAGCTTGCTCTTCCCTTGTTCCTTCTACCATGGAAGATCTTGCCTGTGCTTTCTGCTGAGGAACTGGGTAGCGACTCTTTCCTCTATCTGAAAAGAAGATGTTACCCATAATAGACTGGCCACTTTGTTTTTCCTTGGGAAACAAAATGGTCTTACGATCTCTTATAGACTCTCATTTTTATAATGGCATAAGCTTTCATGGACCAGAGCCCACCTCATCGGATGTATGAAGTGTATCCTTAGCTGGCAAAAATGTATATACAGAAAGAGACAAAAATGTATACAATAAGATTAAAAGGTGATGAAACAAAAATGTTTTTTGACCAATTTACTATTCCCCCCCCCCCGTGTTCAAGATTATACATCTGCCAACATTTTCAGTTGCCACCAGATTTTCTATTTTGTTTTACTAAACCCCTCTGGGATTTCTACTGGGGACATGGGAAAATACAAACGTAGAGGAATCTTTCAAGCATCCTCCAACCTTTGCCGCTTATGAGAATTGCAGGTAAGAAGGTCACCATGCTTCCATCATTTCACAAAATATGTAAAACTGAATGATTCAGAAGGACATTCTTATAAATGAATCAGAATTGTAGTATAATGGACCAGCTCAGGAAGATGCTTTTATAAAGAAATATGATTGTAGCTATTGCAATATTTATTGTATGTGTCGACTTGCTTTTATTGTCTTCTACCTTTGCAATCCATTTTCTGCAATATGGCATGTCAGGCCTTACACCATTTGTTTTTTTTTATTGCATTGGTCTCCAATTCTATAATCCTAGACTTACTGTAATTTTTATTGGATGTCTTATGCTGCCTGATTGAATTATTTTTTTTGCAATGTGCCTTGGTCTCATCAAGAAAGGAAGGCTATAGCCCTGCCCTGGATAGCCCAGGCAAGACCGATCTCATCAGATCTCAGAAGCTAAGCAGGACCGACCCTGGCAAGTATTTGGATGGGAGACCTCCAAAGAATACCAGGGCTGAGGCAGACTACCAAGCCACTTCTCTGAACATCCTCCATGCCCTAGTAGGGGTCACCAGAGATTGTAAACAAACAAGCACTGTATAAATAACGCAGACCATGGAGTGCCCAAAGGTCATGCAAAGGAAAATTATATTGTAGCAAAAGCAAGACTAATAACAATAACAAGGGACCACATATATCACTAAAGCAAGATTACATCATAAAATGTGCAAGTACATACATAATATACATAAGTTCACAAGTAGTTTCACAAGTAGTTGACGAAGACTCCGGATTTTGATCTTCGTTTCGAGGGTTCTTCTTCAAAACTACCGCATAAAAGTACTGATAATGTACAGAAGACCTCAATCATGTATATGTAGGAAAAATCCTTCACACAGCACTCACAAAGCACAGAAGCCTTCAGACTAGTAATACAGGAAAAATTCAGTCCTAATACTCATATAAAGCCGGGCATCTGATCAATAGTGGAACATGTTCTCAAATGGTCACTGCTGTGTTATGTATACTATGTATGGACTTGCACATTTTATGATGTAATCTTGCTTTACTGATATATGTGGTCCCTTGTTATTGTTATTAGTCTTGCTTTTGTTACAATATAATTTTCCTTTGCATGATCTTTGTGCACCCCATGGTCTGCGTTATTTATACAGTGCTTGTTTGTTTACTGTCACCAGAGATTGCCATGACTTCCAGGCACAGGCGCACAGACAGACAGACACACATATATGCAAAAATACCAAAAAAGAAAAAGGAAGGAAGGCTATAAATGAAACAAACAAATAAATAGGAGGGAATTTGCTCCTATCCTCATGGTTCTAAACAGTAGGAAAGCTGGCCTATAAGAGGTCACCCCTTAAAAAGTACAGCTTTTTTATCATTCGAGTAGTAAAACAGACTGGTTCTGCCTAATTGCTTTTCTGCGGAGCTCTCAGCGGGCTTCATGCAGTCTTCACTGAGGTCTGTTCCTTTAACATATGCTGTACCCAGGCCTATCCCTATTTGTAAACTGCTCTGAGCCTAGGAAAGGCAGTACAGAAATAGCATACATAAATGAATTCTCAGAGGAGGAGGAGATTTTGTTACTTGATTAACATGCAGGTAAAACAACAACAACAACAACACGTTGATCTAGCCATGCTAATCGCTTGAAGTTCAAACATTTTGTTGTTAATTTTTAACAGTCTCTCTACTTACCCTCAGTTTCTGTGTCTGAGCTGCAACTCCATTTGGGTGCATCATTGCTATGAAGATAGGAACATCGCCAAGAGGGCTTCCTACTCCTCCAGCAATGCTAATTCCCAAGGAATCTGAAGGGCCCTGTTACAGCAAATTTAAGAAAGCAAACAACCAAAAACAAGTTATATTCTTTCTGATCAATATTAAACATGCTGAGATATTTGAGCAATTTTAGTATCTGGCTGGTAAACCTGGGGACATAAACCAAACTTACTAAGTCCCTCTTCCAGAGGGTTCAATGTGTACAAAATTCAATTACTATTACTCTGTATAACACAGATACTAAAATCATCCACTGTTTCCAAGACTATTGTTCTTAGGACCAGGCTTAAGGCTCTTAATACTACAACTGTACTTAGTGGGAAACCTCATTCATAAACCTAAAGGATGCAGTGATCTTACTTCAAATGCCCACAGTCTGAGACAAGCAAATACACACAGAGACACATGAGAGGCATGTGGTGTCATCAACCAGTATTAAAAGTATTTGTAACAATATCACATCTTTTTTGGTACATTGATGTAAAGGGATGTGATCCAGGGCTATTTTTCTGGGGGAATGCACAGGAACGGAGTTCTGGAACCTCTTTGACAAAAATTCTTTTAAAAATGTAGTATACAGATTGAAAACTTCATATCCCTCCTGATTGTTCCAACACCTCTTTTTCCCAAAAAAAAAGCAAAAAAAAAAAGCCCTGATATGATCCATTTACAAGACAGCCATTCCAAACATACAAATACTGACATTTCTATGGAATTCGTCAGGCAAATGAACTGTTCTTCACATCCTTTAAACTTTTTTTAAAAACTTAATGAATGGGGGGGGGGAACCAGAGCTGGGCCACATTTCAGTTTCAGATGGTTTCCAATTTCTTTCTCAATGGCCTAAAGTTTTGAGTCCATCCAATCAACAACAAAAAAGGAAGGGCTAGTATAAAAATATGCTTATCAGTACACTGCAAGCCACAATTCCCAATGCTTTTTCCTTCTGGAAGTTACAGTGCTAGAGCTATATAAAGAAAAATCATGCTCCCTCTAGTGTACTGTTACACTAACAATTTGAGACTACAGCATTAAACCGAGTGTTTAGTTTTACTTGTGTTCCACAGAACACAAGGAAGGGAAGGTGATTAATCATTCCTTTTGTTAAGAATAATAATTGAACAATCCATTGTACCAATTTAAAACACTGAATAAAGGTTATTTCTCCCAGTTAATATCTCTCCTGTTAAAAATATTATTTCAAACAAATAAAAAAAGTCACAGAGACATTTAAAAAAAACCACTCTGAAAAAGTAACCTATATAACTGAAATAATGAAGATAGTTTCAGAGAGCAGCCATGCTGGTCGGCAGTAGAACAGCTAGGTTCAATAGAGGAGGGGCTGTGGCTCAGTGGAAGAGCATCTGCTTGGCATGCAGAAGGTCCCAGGCTCAATCCCCGGCATCTCCAGCTAAAGGACCAGGCAGTAGGTGATGTGAAAGTCCTCTGCCTGAGACCTTGGAGAGCTACTGCCAGTCTGAGTAGACAATATTGACCTTGATGGAGTGATGGTCTGATGCAGTATAATGCAGCTTTTTATATGTTCATATGTGAGTCCAGTAGCCCTGTACAGAGACTAACAAGATTTTAAGGGTATAAGCTACCAAGTGGTATCTGACAAAGGGAGATTTGACTCTCGAAACCTTACACCCTGAAAATTTTGTTGGTCTCTAAGGTGCTACTGGACTCGAATCTAGCTGGCATAATGACGTAATAAACTTCAGTAACTCACATAACAAACTTAAAGTAAGCTACATAACCAAACTTTCTGAATGTCAAGCCAGTAATATCAGTCCTAAATATCAGGTGAAGAAAATAAGTAGGAACAGGATACACTTGCCAGTCTTTATTATGTCAGAAAACGATTGCTGCTTCTTGTCCTATCCACTAAGCATTGGAAGAGAGGACAAGAGTTTAAATTACAGGAAAGCACACTGAGAGTCTATATGTGAGAATCTTCCTAGCAAGACCAGCAATCCAGATTACCTAATGAGGCCATGAACAGTGCAGTCCTAAACATAATTATGCCCCTCAAAGTCAACTGGCTTTAGTGGACCAAGAAGGGTGTAACTGCCTAGGACTGCATTGGAAATCTCATTCCTGGGACAACCTGAAGGCTGGGCAGGTGCCCACTGGAAGTGCTTTTAGTTTAGGGTATTCAATTTTAGGGAAGGGTCTGGCATCGATGAGACAGAGAGTACATTCCAACTCTTCCAATTTCATTTAGTTCATAGCTACGAAAATTATATTGAGCATGAGCCTTGAGTCTGGGTAATGAATCATGCATCTGACACAGCAAAATATGAGCCTATAGGCAATCATCTGTTAAGTGAAAAGGTTTCATTAATGCGGGTATGGAAAGTTTAAAAATGAAAAGAAAAACACACACAAAGCAGAGCTTTCTCACAATTATATGTCAACTAACAATTTCCCAGTTCCAATGAAGCGTGTGTGTGTGTGAGATACAGAAGTGCACGCTGAATATGCACTTCTGTATCAAATGGTAATGTAATGATGCTAAACAACAGCCAGAACAGTAAAGTGCTCTAAAGCAGCTGAGAGATAAAAGAATTGCTACTGAATCTTTGGTGCCTGCAGAAATGCAAACTACCTCCTTATTCCTGTAAATCCATACATTGCAACGCTGTCTTAAAAACCTTGAAAATGCCCTAAAAGTTTACTACTCCATAAAGATGTTTACCAGCTCACATATCTCTCTCACAGCTGCATGTTCCTGGGCAACTGGATGGCAGGATGTTTTGCCCAATTAATATTTTTTGAAGAGGAGAGAAGAGAACACTTTTGTAAAATTAACTATCACAAAAATGTAGTTTGAGGATTCAGATTTTGCAATTCTTAGTAAATAAATCTACCATATTTAACTGAAAAATAATCTAGCAAAGTGCTTTTAAATCATTAGCTTCAGTAGTAATAAAACAAAACCTCTAATTAAAGTCTTCTAATGAAAAACTAGCCTGAATTATTTAGGATATAATCCTGCTTCTGTTGAATAGCCAATAACAAGCTGTCTCCTGTTGGAAATTTTTGGAAACGCTCCACTTACCTTTTTTATTTCAACCGTTCTTAATCCCTGTATTTCAGATGCCACTTTTTAAAAAAGAAAGAAGAATCAGTATTAGTGTGGTTTTTCATTTCAATCCTTAATTTTTCATATAGATCAAGATTACGTAATTTCAAAATTAAACAGGAATCCAGTGGCACTTTATTGCAGGATAAGCTTTTGTGAGTCAGGGCTTGCTTCCTTTGATGCACTGAAATGGACATACTTTAAGAACATGGATTTATATTAAAAGCGACAGCTTCAGGCATCAAATATAGTGAATTATGTTAGACTTTAAGGTGTTACTGAACTCCTGCTTAATTCTGCTGTTATTGATGAACACAGCTACCCTTATGAAGTTGCACATTGCCTGGGAGTTGCCTGGGAAGGGTGGGATATAAATTTAACAAACAAACAAGTGCTGGAAAAAGAGTACACCACAGCAGATTAAAGATCTTGTAGATCTGGACAATTGTATTTCAAAAATGGATAAGGTTGGTTCTGAGAAATTCGGGATGATGTCCTTGCCCTCTGTGTTATTTATCATTTTTTATCATTATCATTATTTAAGGACATTGGTTCTTATAATGAAAAGGGATTGTTTTGGCAGGCAGCAGGAACTCCTGGACAGCTTAGAAAACACTTGGAAATGGCATGGATAGCCATTGCATACATTTCCACATTTTGTATTTCACCACAGTGTCTTGCAGTGTAGTCTTAAGAAGAATTACATCCTTCTAAACCGATGAATTTCAGTGGGTTTAGAAGGTTTTGTAAGTTGCAGCTCCTCTTAGGACTACATTGCTGGCCTACAAGCTTTACTGGTGTGTTTGAAGTTGACCTGGGCATGTAATGCTTCAAATGATACAATTGAAAAGCCACAACATGCATCCCTTGCCCACCCCCACCCCCAATGTATTCAATTTAACAGCACAGCACAAAACATAGGCACAAATTTTAGCTATAAAAAGCAACTGAAACTTACATGAATTCTTCTTCAACGTGCTTTCATAACTTTCACCTGGGTTGGATCCAGAACCTGGGAAACTGAAGGAGGACAGGCTGCCACTTCCCTCACTGACCTTAAAAGGTTTCATAAAGGAGAATTACTCCAAGTCCTTGAGCTTATGTTGACATTATCTAATTCTCAGAAATCACTCAAAATGGCATTGCAAAACCAGTAGCCTGCATTTTCAAAAATTGTTATAGTCTTTGCTGTATTACAGCAGTGAGAGTAAGAACTCAGCAAGCTGACTGGTGGGAAAATATTATATACCAAATAAAAGAAGTGGCTTTTTAAAATAAAATTCTTTCCATAACATAGAGAGCAATCCTAAGCAGGTCTACTCAGAAGTAAATCCCGTTTTATTCAGTGGAACCACTAAGAGTGAGTGTGGGGTAGAGGTTGCAAGTATCGAATTAGTCTCTGGGAGATCCAGGTTCAAATCCGCACTCACACCATGGAAGCTTTCTGGATGACCTTGGGCTAGTCACATTCTCTGAGCCTAATCTATCTCACAGGGTTATTGTGAGGATCATATGGAGGAGAGATGAATCACGTACACTGCTTTGGGTCTCCAATGGGGAATTAAATAAATAAAATAATTAGACTAAGGCTGCTGTCACACACACTCCACTTTCAATGCACTTTCCAGCTGGATTTTACCACGTGAACTGGCAAAATCCAGTTGGAAAGTGCATTGAAAGTGGGTTGAAATTAGATAATTTAGTGTCTGTGACTGCAGCCCCTGTCCAAGGAAGGTGTTCTTAAGACTGCAGCCGAAATCAGAGTTTTCAGCAGCTACCTTGCCTAGATATAGAAATTAAGAGGAAGATCAAGTCCCCTATACAAGTTGACCCATTAAGAATACCAGCCTCCTACACATAGAACTCGCTATGTAGGAGGACTGCTGATTGCAAAAGGAGGGGTCAGCAGCAGGAGACCCCCATGCACAGAACCGTCCATGCAGGAAGGTGTAGGAAGGATGTGGTCGGGAACTGGATCATCCTCTAAACCAGAGGTGTCAAACTCATTTGTTACAAGGGCCAGATCTGACATAAATGTCACTCTGTCGGGCCAGGCCATGTGTGCCACAAAACGTAATGCCAGGTACCGGAGATAGAAACTGTATAAAGAACAGCAGCTGGTAAGCTCCAAGCTGGTATATCCTCACTGCAAGGCCCCCTGGGCTGGGAGGGGGGTGCAGAGGAAAACCTGCATGGGTGGACTGGAGAGGCAGCAGTGCAGCACTGTGCAGATGCTCCCACGATGCTTGACTGCTGCAGACGAAGTTGTTCTTCTGTGCTGAAGCCACAGTAGTGTGGCTCCGCCCACTCCCTCCCCAGCACTCCTTCCCTTGCATCAGTTGTTCGCAGGCCGCATAAGAGCCCTTGATGGGCCGGATCCGGCCCCTGGGCCTTATGTTTGACACCCCTGCTCTAAACGTTTAGTTGTGACAGCAAAACTCGTGCACACAAGCATCAATAAACATTTTCATTCCTTTGGTTGATCTAGATTGCCTTTTATCCTTTGGTGAGTATGGCCATCTACTATACAATACCTTTAAGGATCCAAGCCATTAAAAAACATAAACTAGGATAAACCCAATATAAAAATTGGTATATGAAACAAATGTTTTTATATGTTCTTGGCTGTAGATTTTATTCTTCTCTGATAAGGCGGTAGCAAAATCGCTGCTGCTGCAATTCAATTCCCTTTTATTCGCTTATATAATTTAATAGCGCTTGTGATGGTTCCAAATGAAGCCATTGCAAGCAGTTACAAACCTGGCTGCTCTGAGACGTTCTCCTCTCCGAATGGAATGGGCCTGCCTTTATTCTTCCAACTTCTAGTCTGACTGTACCTAATGAGCACTAGAGAGCAGGCATTATTTATAAGACACAGATTCCTTAACCTAGGATCATTAAAGGCATTTCTTAGTTCATGGCAAGATTAAGAGCTGGTTCAGACAACCATCAGCCAGTAATTCTGTACATACTGTAGACTGTGTGAATGAGTTCTAAAAGCAAGAGGGAAAATGCTGATTTCACTTTCTCCATGTCTGCCAGTTGAGCTCATGGACATGGAAAGAGACCTCTACAGAAGTAAGTTCATAATACTGTATCAGTTGAATTTTACACTGTGAACCATTGGCAGACTACCATCTAAACAAATCATGGCAAAAATTACACTTCTAGTTCAGCCTAGTGCTTCAGATGGCAGAAGCATTTATCTACCTACAACATCTGACAGGGCATGTCTGACAATCTGACAAATCAATTTACTTCAGTGACAAAAGCCACAGCTGATAAGTCCATTTTCACAGGTGTTCCCCATAAGTTATCAAAACCCGATTCAGAAAATACAGTAACACCAACTTCTGTCATCTGCCAGTATTGCATATTTTGAGCTCATGCATTAGCCCCTCCCTTAGAAAGGAACATCTGTTGTTTGTTTTTTGAGTGATTCCAATATATACAGTTCAACTCTCAGCACAATCCTATGAAGAGTTACTCCATTCAAAGGCCACTGAAGTCAACAGTCTTTGACTACCGTAACTCTGCACAGGATTATACTCATAATATAACAAACAGCCATGCTGTCTAGAGGTATCACCTACACAATCCCAAGACTGTTCCCAGCTGGGAACAGAATTTGATGTATGCCCACCACTTAAAATGGAACACTAACATTGGCTGGCGGGAACACGAAAAAACAGTAGCGAATCATTGTTGGTTGTGCAATGATACTATGAACACTTTTTAATGTACAATATGGGAAATTCAAAAGTTGTCCCCATGTTAAATGTAACAAAAGAACAAAATGTTCTCAAATTGAAGAGAACATCAGTAGCAGTGCTTTGGTGTGTCTCTATAATGACCTGAAGTAATGGAACTCAAATAAATCAAGGGGAGGGGAGGTTCAACCAGTAGAGAGTCTGGTTCCATCTCCAAATTAATGCAGTAGGGTTTTATCGATAATTCTACCATTACCTTTAACAAAGCAGCAACTGCTTCCTGATTCGCATTTCTAACATCTTCTCCGTTCACCATCAATATCTGGTCTCCTTGCATCAACCTTCCATCCAAGTCTGCTATTCCTCCCTTGACGATGTCTGACACAAACACCCCAGTATCATTTCTGCAAATATAATATTGATGTATATTAGGCATGTGAGTATATTAATTACATGTCTACTTGGTTAAGAATGAGTTGTTTTTGCTTTGTGTTTTTAAAAATCTAAGTAGAATTATGCTCGCATCATGATGTTCTAACTCTTTTCTCTGTCTTGTACCCCTCCACACACATGCACTATTAAACAGGACAACTTCTTGTACACACACCCTGGCTGCATTGCTGTGGTTCAGTGAGAGGGGAAATGCTCATCTAGCTGTATGAAAACCACTGCCTGTCAGAAAATGATGGGGAACCACAGCAAGGCAACCGCAGTATCTCACAAAATTTTCCCTCCATTGCTACCCCATACCAAATAATTATGTGTAGAAAAATACATCACTATTGATCATTTCAGACCATTAGCATTTCAAACATCTTCTCTGTTCACCATTTAAAAACACTGGGTTGGATCCAAAGGTGCTCCTCCCCCAGCTAGTGGAAAGAGCCCTGTTGGCAGAGAAGGGAGAGGTAATGTTTGGAGATTCCTAGGGTAGACTTTACCCCTATACTGCTAATGTAGGTCTCTTAAGTTCCAGGAACAGAGTTGGGGGGGGGGGGTAATAGGTTGCAGCAGGGCTTTTTTTGTAGCAAAAGCCCAGCAGGAACTTATTATCATAATAGGCCACACCCAACAGCAGAAATGTATTAGCATATTAGGTCACACCCCTGAAAGTGCAGCCTATTAGCATATTAGGCCACACCCCACAGCTACGGGGAGCCTGGGCAAGCTGGCCCTTGGACAGGCTGGGGGAGGCATTTAAATGCATCTCTGATCCTTCCAGGGGGCCCCGCCCCCAAGTCGCCAGGGGGGGCCACTCTCCAGGCCTTCCCTCTGTAGCCATGCACGCAGAGGTTTTGGCTGTAGTGGGCATGGCCAACTCTGAAGCCAGCTGGAACTCCATTCCTGTGCGTTCCTACCCAAAAATAGCCCTGGGTTGCAGTGAGAGGTATAGGAGTCCCATTCTGCAAGCTTTACTCAACTTGGATCTCAGCTTTGGATCCAACCCATTTACTTTGAAAAAATACTCAATAATAATGGTACAAGGGAAGGGGAGAGGTGCCAAGCTGTGTTGCTATTACTGCTGCAGGCAGTAAATAACAACATTCTGACAATGGTGGAGCTACATTCTACACAGTTCTTACAAACCCAAATGGAGCTGGGTTACAAAGTAACTGAATAAAAGCAAATAACATCCCACTGTGTAATAATCACTGCCATTTTATACTTACTCACTGTTTGGGTTTGGAGAGAAAGGGAGCTTTATATAAGGTGTGTTAAAGGGCATGGTGATAAATTCTGAAAATAAACTCCTTAAGCCTTCACGGTAGACCTGCTTCTCTAGTCATAAAAAAGAAAATGTCCCAGCTTTTCTTGTAGCATATTTGCAACAAGAAAGCTAGTGTTTATAGCCTATCCAAATGTAATAACATTTCCCTATCCATTTTATACTCTTGTTAACCCTGTTTGGTGGCAAATTCTAAAAAGGTAATGATGTTAATTTCTTACAGCAAAAATGAGAAGGGGTACTGTGGCAATTTATGCCAAAATTAATTTATTAGAACGACCACAACCCCCCCCCCCATTCTTCCTGTTTGATGGACCATTCCTATTTACTGATGTTTACTAAATATGCTTATTAACGAAGCATCACTGGCAACAAAATCTTCCTCTTTTGAATTTCTCTCTGGATTTGAGGGTTCAATATTGTCAGAAACATTTATAGGTGGGCATCTCAAAATGTCAGGATCTAGATTTCATTTGGAGTTATATTTCTGGAATATTAGCAATTTTAAAAAGTAACTTTAAAAATCTTACCAAAGCTGATACAGGTAATTCTTATTTACATTTTTAAGTTGCAAGTGCAGTCTACTGCAACACAAATAATAATTTTTAAATTTTAAATTTTAAATTAGAAAATAAAGAAAATACAGAAAAATAGATTTAAATTGTTTATTTTTTTCTTTTGCATCTTGCATTAAAAAAGCATAAGAACAAAACAGAAAGTCATTTTTAAAGTTTTGAAGGGCTTTATTTTCATGCTGGTTTTATGGCACTGGAACTTTGTGATAAGGCAACAAAATATATAAAACTCTTTCCTTTCGAGAAAGCCAATTTTTAATCATGGGTTACTCTGGTCTGACACCCTGGAGTTCTTCTTTGGTTTTGGAACCAAGGTTAGAGGGTTGCATCTAGCAGGGTGAGGTTGAAGTAGAGCATCTGCATTTACAAATCTGAAATTCTGTTTTGCACAAAATTCCCTGTTGTAATTGGAATACAATGACAGGGGACCCCAAAATATAATGGAACCAATGAACAGCAAAGGAGAAGAACTGAGGGGATCCACATTTCCCTCCTCATAGTCCAAGCCCACAAATGGGGCAGCGAGTTAGATTCCCTATGGGTGAGCAGAGTTTAAAGCTTGGTCAAAATCCAACTCTTCTGCTTTTGATAATGCTGGGAACCTAACATGGACAGGTCCAATGAAGAGAATTCTTGTCTCACGCAGCCATATCCTCCACCTCTGGCAGAAACCTTAAGTCAGCGTCATACCACAGGATTGAAAGCTCTATGTACCTACCTTTTTCCGACAATACTTAAACCAAGACCTTTGCCTGGCTTCTTTTGTAGCTCTATGCTAAGCACATCATACATATCTTCTTCCTTATACTGAGCTTCGTCCCTATAAACGGTTAGTCGGACTTTTTGAGGTGTCTGTCTGAGAACATTTATGGCTTCATCGTGCGTTGCATTCCTTAGGTCAATTCCATTTACCTGGAATGTAATCAGATGTCAAAACTTTCATGAGTTCAAGAGAACAGACAGCGTGTATTTAATTAAATCTTCCCCACTCTTCCACCAACCTCTTTAAATACAGAAGAATGCATGCAATTCAAGGATGCATAATATAATATGCAATGTTATACCTCCAAGATCTGATCACCAGCCCAGAGTCTTCCATCTTTTGATGCTGCACCTTCTTCATACACTTCATGAATAATAATTGCTCCCTGTATTTAAAGCAAAAACAAAATCCAATGAATATTCATGAAACATCTTACTTAGTGTTGCAACTATCCCAGAACAGGAATCTAGTGGCAACTTAAAGACTAACAAAAAGGAGTTCTTAACATTACAGCTTAAGTAGGGTTTGTTTCATGTCAGGGATTAGTTTGGTGTTGTCTAACAATTATGCAATCAAATCATCACAAACCAGCAAAGTGTCAGCTCCACCAACGATGCTCAAGCCAAGTCCTGTACGTCCCTTGGAGATATCAATTGTAGTTTCACAACCTGGGATAATTGGGCAAGTAGCTGGGTCAGAGGCCAATGTGGCTGGAGTTGAGGACCTGCTTGTATCTAAAAGCAAATTAACAGCCTAGTTAAAAGAATTCACTATACAACACTCTTTGTGATACTAATTTGACAAACTTCTGAGAAGATAAAGAAATACTGTAACCAAGTTATAAATATAAACATTTCAAGAACTTCACAGATACGTTTTGCAAAAAGTGGAAGGAAAAAACTAAGCTTAATGATATAACGAAACATTTGTATGCACAGTAGAAAGAAAACCCACTTATGCTGCTTTGCCATAATGCAATTGCCTTCTCTCTGTAGCAGTGAAAATCATTTAAGCTTTTCCTGTTGAAATCAGTGGGACAAATTAGTAGTGACTACTTTCAGTTCCATGCCCTGACCTGCATGGCCCAGGCTAGCCCGATCTCATCAGATCTTAAAAACTAAGCAGGATTGGTCCTGGTTAGTATTTAGATGAAAGATCACCAAGGAATCCCAGGGTCACTATGCAGAGGAAGTCAATGGCAAACCACCTCTGATAGTCTCTTGCCTTGAAAACTCTACCGGGTCACCATACGTTGGCTGCAACTTGACAGCACGTCACACACATACACACTTTCAGTGCAACTTCCATTAATTTCAGTAAAACATTTAAGTATGAACAACTTTCTCTGGATTAGGACCCATTTTTACTTCACCTATTGCTTCCCCTTTTTCAGCATAAAACAATGCATCTGAGAGAACCCTATTGCTCTATTATGGCTGAAAGAATCAGCTCCCAAAGTTATGATTTTTGGTTTTATAAGCAATGCTGTAAGCACCTGGAAACTGTTGTAGTCTAGATAGTTCAACAAATCAGATATCCCAAGGTTTACACTTCCTTAATAAAATGGCCTGATCTTATAGGTAAACTGAGATGGAAGTGCATTCTAAAATTCATTCAAAAAGTATAAATACTTTTATTTATAATACATGCTACCCTATAATTCAGTAAACTGCACTAGTTGTCTGCAGATCAAATCCAGCCAATATTTGTCTTTACTAGCAAAAGACTTTTAATAGTTCCCACACCATTATTCCCAATTCATAAAAAGTTAAGTCACAGTGACCAGCAGGAAGAGGAAATACACAGTTTCTTGGCAACTGTACATAAATTTTCCATTAAGTGTTTTCCCTTCCAGAAAGCACCATATGGTAGCTTTAGGCTAGGACTCACCGCCATGTTTAAGTAATCTGCTATAAGGCTTCCTTTCTAAGGAAGAAGCTTTGATGTTCATCTGAGTTATATATAGGGTAGTGGCTCATGATCATACCAACTAATAGCAAACTAGATGACCCCATGCCAATAACAAAATTGGTAAAATGGGGCCATCTATAAACTAGAGTGAAGTCCTCATATGTGCAGAATAAATCCTGTCTTCCCAACTCTACCCCACAAAAAGAGGCACAGTCCCCGCCCAAATTAACATTAAACAGATTATATGTGTGTGCATGAGCACAAACCTTATCTCCCTCATGACTATTAGGCTGAAATCTGTTTGCCTACATCCTAAGAGGGGGAGGGGGAGAGAGAGAGAGGGAAGGAGGGGGAGGGGGAGAGAGATGGGGGGAAAGATAGAGAGATGGAGATGGTGTTCCTACTCATTTCTAATACTGGGAAGAGAGCAGGGAACTCTAAAATTCTGACAAATGTTCTTTCCGTGCCAGTCCAAGGCTGGAGAGATGCACACTTCTCTATCTGCCAGTATAGTATTTGTTTAAATTAACTTTATTATAATACTAGAATAAACAAAGAGCAACAAATATTTATAAATGACCAGTATCCATAAACACTGTATAACACAACCACATTTGTGAAAAAAGAACTGTTCAATATAATAAAATGCTAAGGCTGAAGATAAACATTGTCTATAAAACCAGTGACACAAGGCCACAATGAAGAAACATTCAATCAATCAGTGCAGTGCTATATGACTCTAAATGTTTTCATAATCCCCAACCAGTATGAATAGACGATAAACAATTAGTTTAGTGACCTGGCTTTATTTTATTCCAATACTTTATCAATAAAGATGATCTTTCTTCCAATAAAGGGTGTGCATCCCCCCCTCCCCAATCTTAGTTGTCTGCAGACTGACAATTCATCTATAATAATGGTCAACCAGTACCTTCTAAGCCACACTTCAATACCTGGAACATTAGTTTATTTTCAGTGCTTTGCAACTGACAATCTTGCAGTCACTATCAGATTTTTCAAAGTGTAACCATATTTCTTTTCCCATAGTTTAATTGGCAAAATTAAATCAGCATCAGAGTGCACTTCACTTCACAGGTTACAATTTCACTCATGACCTTACATACTTCATACCAAAATTGTTTTATAATAGGGCATGACCACCAGATATAACACAGAGAACCTTGATGGCATCTCCAGTATTGATCTGAAGTATAATACCATCTAAACAGGAAATTCAGGCCATTTTCCCAGTATTGATGCTAAGTGATGTACTCAATATCTCTAAATATATTTCCCATTTATCATTTTTACTTCCAGCATCAAATATCTGCCATTTTTCCTATAAACTGGTTCTCTAGTGTCAAATTTTTGCCCATAAAATATTGCTAATAATCCTTTAGATGATGCTGAATGGAGCAATAAATTATCCCATTTGTTCAGGGATCAAAACATATATATTCTTCTAGCTGCTTGACCAATGAAGTTTCTGATCTGCTGATACTGATATTCCATCAAAGCTTTATTCTCTGCCCGCTTAGATATTCCAATGGACAGATTTTCTCCTCCTTTGGGAAATCAATAAAATAATTTAAATGACCCTGTACCCATTTTGAAAAAGATCCTATGGATCTGGCTTGTTGAAAGTGTTTGTTACCTATAAGTAGCATTAGTGGCAAAAATCTCCTGAGCCCTATTCTACCTTTTCCCAAGTGGCATTTAATGAGGACCTAGTACAATTGGGGTTGAAGTCTGTTTGCACATTGCCTGTTACCACTGGCCAGAACCATGCTGTCAATGGAACTGTTTACCTTGCTTGTTTAATATGCCATATTTTCCTTAGTTGTTGTCCTCTAAACCAATGCCATATTGCATGGTAGTACTTTTCCACTGATAGTACAGCTAAGCTACATGATTTTTCTAGAGGCCTGCATTATTGTTCTGGTGGAATGTCTTCTAGATTTTAGTTAGAAGATCTTTAATAAAAATTAGAGTAATAGCCATGAAGAAAATGAAGAACTGTGGCTATATCTTCATCTTTATGACAGCAATTCTGCCCAACCATGGCACATTAAGTTTACACTACTTCCTTAAGTCAGACTCTATCTTTTCCATAACAAGAGTTACATTATCCTGTACTAGGGTATCCAAATCTTCTGAAAAGTTCACCCCCATATATTTAATATCTTTTGCATTCCATATGGATCCTGAAATTTAAGAGTTTTTTTCTTTTCCTCCTCCCTTATTTTTAAATCTAATTGTACCATTTTTTTAGCATTTACTTTATACCCAGAAAGTCAGCCAAATTGCTTTAAGATTTTAACAAGTTCCTCACAGGATTCTCTTGGATTGTTTAAGAAAAACACCACATTGGCTGGATTTAGCATTATTTTAGATTCTACATCATGGTGCCTAATTTCTAAAATTGACCTTATTTGCTGAACCTTTTTGGCCAGAACTTCAATACACAGGTTGAAAAACAAGGGGGGCAAAGGACAACTTTGCATTACTCCATACTTCAAAATAATCTGTGAGTTCTGAAAGCCATTGACCAAAATTCTGGCTTTGGGGACTGTATAGCAGATGTGTAACCTTCTTTTGAATTATTTGCTGCAGCCAAATACCTCAAGCACTTACTTTAAGAAAACCTATCTTATTCTATCAAAGGCTTTTTCAGCATCCACAAAGAAAAAGACTGAAGGTTCTTTTTTTCATCTACAAGATGTAATAAATGTTTTAGTCTTCCCACATTCCATGATAGTTGTCTACCTTTTAGAAACCCTGTTTGATCCTCATTTATGTAGTTTCAGTAAATGATTTAGTCTCTTAGCTAATACTGAGGTGAAAATTTTATAATCACCATTTAGAAGTGATATAGGTATACAGGCTGCTACATTACCACTTTCCTTCCCTTCTTTTGGGATTAGCATAATATTTTATTCTTACCAGGTACTACCTCAAAACCCCTTTCTTCATAGTGACTAAAATAGCTTTTTTTAAAAAAAATGAGAAGCCAACTCTTCTTTCAATAAAATATAAAATTCATTGGAAACCCTAGAGTCTTATGATGTTTTAATTAATTTATTGCTTCTTTAATTTCTTCTAAAGCTAGCGGTTTATTCCTTAAATCCATTTGGTATTTTAGTTCCCTCCAAAAATGTTGGCAATTTGGTGTATAGGGTATCCTCCCTTGAATATAAATTCTGAAAGAGGTCTCTGAACTACAATCTGAGGTGAATTGTATATCTTAACCCCTGATTTAGATTTAATTATTGTTATTCTATTAGTACCAGTTTTGTACTAACAGAATTACACCTTTGTCTCTGGCAGGAATCTAAAGTCAACACCACAACACAGGATCAAAAGCTCTATGAGAAGAGAGAGGGCTGAGATACTACGAAAGAAGAGGGGCAGCTCCTTGAAAAGGAGGTTTCACTTAAGGCAGAGGGGTTTGCCCTTCTCAAGACTAGAAGTTGGAAAAGGGGAGGTTTCTGCCTTCAAAAAAACATCCTCCAGCCTCACAATTTAAATGCTGAGTTTTTGGACAGCGAACTCAAAATCTTTCTCGAGCAGCACAGGTTGGGGTTAAAGGGGTTTAAAGCTCCCATGCCAGTGCTTTGTTACTACATAGCTGAGTGTGAGAGAGGTCCCTGGAAGGTGGAAGAGATAAAAAAGCATCCTTTTATTTATCACCTCTTCTGAAAGATTCTTCCTCATTCCTCTCCAAGCTAAGAAGAGGAGTGTTGTAGAGTGTTGTATGTCAGAAAACTGACTGGAGCCTTGAAAAGGAGGATTCCTATTAGGAGCTGGGATGCATATTGAAATTTTACTATGGGACCTATAATTTTAGAATATGCATCTCTTCCTAGAAGAGAAGGGAGTTGTGACTAATTCTTTTCCCTTTGTATTTTTCACTGAATTATGTTTGTAAATTCAAGGATTACTGGAAGTTGCTTACTTTTAACTGATTCTGGTTCTGGTGACTCTGAAGTTGGAGCACTTGCTGGTTGTTGGATAAATCTCTCCCCCAAATCAGAGTGGTAAATCGGTGTCTGTGGCTGGGCAGCTGGCTGGCTCTCCCGTTCAATTGAATTGACCGTAAGTTTCACAGAAGGTTTTGGTGTCTTCAGTAAACTGATAAACTGAAGCGAAAATAAAAAGAGCAAACTGTCAAATCACAAACTAATCTGGATTGTGTTGGCATGTATCCAATCACCCACAGACTTCACAGAATGGGCCTTTGCTACTCTCACCACTGCAGTCCTCTGAGACCACCCCCCAGCTTATTTCTGGGAGTCAGTGGACCCTCAGGAACAGCATAGAGAGGCAAAGCAGGAGTCCACAGTGGGACTGGGGAATCTTCACCATCTTAAATGGAAACAGGCTATTTTTTTCAGTCATTAAGACTGTCATCAGTCATGTTGCAGAACTATTGTAGGCCTAGAAGAGAAAAGCTTGCAGGTTATTATGAGGGAGTGAAATATCACATAGAATTGTGCCAGCTAGCCCCATCCCTGTGTGTGTGTGGTATAACTTTTGAACATGAGCCCACACATACATTTTTACACATTTAAATCATATACAAGTATTTGGGAGCCTCCATTTGCCAAGGTTTGTAGGCCTATGTATGTACACTCTTGTTTCTAGGTTGTACTGGCCATCTACAGATCCCTCTGTTTCTCTGACCCCAGCTGCATATTCCATACATGCCCATCTCTTTTAGACTTCAAAGAAATACACCTTGATAGTTTGCCGGCCACCATCCACAGAAAAAGAGACTGCTCCATATCTGAAGAAGTGAACTGTGGCTCAAGAAAGCTTGTATTGAAATAAATGTTGTTAGTCATTTACTTCCTAAAACAGACTAACACAGCTACCCCTTGAAGAACTTAGCTAAACATCTAAATGTAACACTAAATATCTACATAGCATATTTCTTTGAAGAGGTATGGCTTAACTGTGTATTACAATTACTGCTCACCTTTTCTATAGGATATCCCACAACAACTTCATCATCCACTGCCAGGATCTGATCTCCAATCTTAATTCGGCCATCCTAAAATGAAGGTAAAGATATTAAGATGAGCTGTTCCTGAGGGTCCACTGACTCCATCCCCACTAAATTTCTCATCATTTTCTTTCCATAGGTCGTAAGACTTACCTTTCCTGCTGCACCATGCTCTGTTAAACTTTTGACAACCACACCATTTACTGTGTCTTCTTCACTGATGGCTATACCTATGCCTTGATCCTAACAAATACCAAGCACATCCTCAGTTAAAACAAGAACAAACACAAGCAGACCAATGAACACCATGGATTTTCCATAAATTTACACTTGTCCGCATCACAACAGTTTAAATGTCAGCAACTTTCCCAAGACTCCAAAGTTCTATCATGAATCTACATTCTAAAAAGGATTACTGATTTTTAACAATCTAGAAAATTAGATCTTTGCTGCTTCTCTGAATATGGTCTGCTGCACAGACAGTATTCGATCCAAGAGTCCCCTTTAAGTTATTAAGTCATGAATGGCCCTTTGTAGGAAAAAGTCTTTATTACTCAGTCAATCCAAATATTGAATGATGGTGTTCTAGCTAAACATTAAAGAAAGAAAGATTCAGTCAAAAAAGTGTTTTCACTGTAAATTGTCTTAGGTAGAAAGAAAAGTAGGAATGCATTTTTGTTATGTGCTTCCCAAGGAAACACACTGCTAGGGTCAAGTACCACAATCACAAAGATACTATCCTTATCTTCACAAACCAACCCTGTTCAGTGACTTTACTTTATGGGTTCCTCTAACTCTCTGGTTGCCCTGATTTCATATTTCTCTGTGATACCTTTAGATGTTATTCAAACCACATGGAAGCTGCTTATCCATCAGCAGCTCTTGCACAGCTCTAAAAATGTCCAAATGATACAGACCACATGAGCAGGGTCTGCTCACATAGCCTTCCCCCATGCAATTTGTGATGATTCTATGGGGAAAGACTATAGAATCAGACCCAAGGGTGACTTACACTTTCTTCTTACCATGCAGGAGCTCCTCATCAATGTTCCTTCTAAGCTGAGTTAGTGTGAGCTCACAGTTTTTTAGCCTCCGACTCACACGTTTTTTGTCTTAGCTCAGGAAGGATGGCTCCAGAGCAAACTGATTTATGCAGTAGCCAAATCACTCGCTGACAACTTTAATGCCAGTAGCTCACAAAGTAGAACTTTTGCTCACAAGACTCCACACCTTAGAGGGAGCATTGCTCCTCATGGTAAGAAGCTCCTATAGAGTGGGGAGAACATTTAAAAGGCAGCTGTGAGACAAAATATTCATGGCTGCTTTTGTCAGAGGATCTACTATGTGCAAAGCCACAATTAAGTGGCAGAGCCATAATCAAGCTGCAAATTGCACAGCCCTCACCACATAATCTGACAGTCTCAGACATTTTAAAATGACATCAATACTCTCAGTGCAGATGAAAGGAAAATCAAACTTTATGTTCCATTTTATGTGGAAGCTTATAAAGCCAGAGAGACAGCAGTAGATTCAAAATCCCACAAGGTTATAGTCTCTTAGACTGGTTCGCAGCCTTTTTCTCTCACAGTCATTGCACGGCTGTTATTTCCTACTTCCTTATGATGTTCTACGATTAACAATTTATTTTCCTCTATGCTTGATATAAAAAAATTAAAAATAACTTTCTGCAACTGTGCAAATTAAATACAAGAAGGGGCCCCGTGAGGACTCATGGACAAAGGAAATCTTACCCACCCCACAGGGCTCCACTTCCTAATCCTCCCATCTTCTTTTTTCCCCTCATTCCCTCCATCTTGCTCCCACTGCCGCCGCCTCCTCCTCTGTTGCCTTTCTCCCCCTCACTGTGCAACCACCTCCTCTCCCCAACATCATGCCTGCCTCTTTCCTTCCCAGCCCACCCTCCTTTCTACCTGCTGCTGCCTTTTTCTCTCTGCAACCTGGGGAAAAGGTTCAGAATTACATATAAGATATACGAATGTGTATAGATGGCACTAACTGACCTGGACAGCCCAGGCTAGCTCATTCTCATCAGATCTCAGAAGCTAAGCAGGGATGACCCTGGCTAGTATTTGGATAGGAGACCTCCAAGGGATACAGGGTCATGACATGGAGCCAGGCAGTGGCAAACCACCTCAGAATATCTCTTCCCTTGAAAACCCTATGGCGTCATTGTACGTTAGCTGTGACTTGACAACAAAACCAACAACAAATAGATGGCATTGCCACCTTGGTTGACAATGACATAGGGTGTGCAATTTTGGTTAATTTTTAGGAGGATAAAGTCTGTGCCATGTCATACTACTCAAGTCACAAACACACAATCAACTTAGAAACAAATGGACACTGGCACCAACACAGAATATCCATATGTGCTTACCTTAGGTAATTCAATATCCTGAATATTTGTATATGGACTCAAATCTATAGGTAAACTAGAACACAGAATATTCACTTCATCCTAAAAGAAATAAAAATTTTAAATGTAAAAATAAAAACACAGGTACATGGGAAGACATACTGTATCTGTCTTTAGCATTGTAGAATTACAGACTCAATACATCTATTTTTTCTATTGTATCTTCTTCAGTTCTGCTAAAATCTACCTTGATTTTTGTGTAGGCCACTTGCCTATGCAGAATTACTCCTATTTAAGGCACTGAAATCAAGGGGCTTAGACTGGAATAGCGCTGCATGGAACTGAAACATAACAAACAAAGCTATATTTCTGTATATTGGTCCATCCATAAATATTAACCATACCATCAAAATAAATGAATATCCAAATCTGTATTATACCTCTTCATGTTGAGGTGTTCCACAAGAAGTCTCTGCTGATTTTCCAGGACAAACTGCCATCTGATTGACAGCATCTTTGTTTCTACAATGTATGAAGCAAATACATTTTAAAACTGTAAGGTTTTACTCTAGCAAATACTTTAAACTTTTTAATACTGAAAATGATAGCATTAAAAATAAAGTCATACCTATAATGGATGCAACAATGAAAATGTGTGATCTAAGGAAGCTTTTAGGAATGTTACCAACATTGAAAAATATGTATATGAAAAAATATGCTGCTAAAATTGCATTTAGATAAATACAGATATAAAATGTTGAAGTTAGCTATAGAAAGATTAGGGATTGCTTACCTGACAAATATGATTTTTACTTTAGAAGATGCACATTTAATTATTGAGGATGCATTCTGGTGAGTCCTTCCATAGAGAACTTGTCCATTTATCTAGATTTATCAGAAGAACATAAATAGCAATAACGCTAATTTTATCCCTTTATTCTATCCAAAATGTGTCTCCACACACAAGAAGAAATTTGATTTTTCCATTACAAATTATTAAAATTGCTTTCCAACCTTTGTGATACACTAAGACTGTCTTCTTCACATTGTAATCATTTCCCCTGTCACAAAATCCCTAACAGCTGTTTGTATTTGGCTCTTTCATTGGCCTGGAAATGTCCTTTGAGAGGTTAAAATGGGCTGGCTGACTTTGGGAACATTATAATCTATTTCCATTACTGATTGATCATCTCATGACCCACTGTTTGTCAAATGAAATAGAGGCATGGAAATAAGTTGCCAATAACAACAAAAGGTTAAAAAAATCAGCTACGTGGCAAGAGTCTACCTTGGTACAGTGAATGGGAACACTAGCAAAATTAACTATGTCTCAACAATGTGCTCAAATTCTCAAGAGTAATAGGATACTTTCATTAACATAATCACAACTACATTAAAGGGATCTATTTATTTACATGTAAAATAATATTAATATTTAATACTTAATGTTTAACAGTTCATGAATTTCAGAATACAGACTGAAAACTTCATTTCCCTCTTGAGAGTACCGGCACCTCTTTTTCAGAAAAAAGGGGGGGGGGGAAGCCCTGCTTAATATACATAATTTAGCAATCAAAGGGCTTAGCATAAATTTCCTCATAATCCTTACAACAACCCTGCAAGGTTGATTAGTACTATTATTCTCAAATTGGCATCTGAGGCCAAGTGACAGTGATTTGCTGAAGACTACTTAAAACTACAGGTTTGCTTTACAAAAATATAAAAAGCCATCAGGCCCTTACCCTGACTTCCCCTCCTAGCTATAGCCCTGTAAAGCAAACAAGACCTGGCTTACTATACTTGGATAAAAGGCAAAGTATATTCATTCAACCTATACAGTTTGGTTTCTAGTGTGTACCAAATCAGTGCCTAATTCTGGAGCAGGAGATCAAGCCATTGGCTTGGTCCCTTCCTGGGGTAACTAACAGAAGGAAGCACTTATCCCCCTTGGTAACCAGAAGGATGAGTTTCCTAAATACACTGGCAATGTGCTACCCTATCAAATTTTCATTTCCGTTTTAATCTGATGGCTTCCATACTACTTTCCTTGCTTTGCATCATACACAATCTTTGTCTTATTAAATGAAGAAGAAGAGATTGGATTTATACCCCCCCCTTCACTTGGAGTCTCAGAGCGGCTTACAAACTCCTTTCCCTTCCCCTCCCCACAACAGACACCCTGTGAGGTGGGTGGGGCTGAGAGAACTCTGACAGAAACTGCTCTTTTTCAAGAACAGCTGTGCCAGAGCTTGTGACTGACCCAAGGTCACATCAGCAGGTGCAAGTGGAGGAGTGGGGAATCAAACCCGGTTCTCCCAGATTAGAGTCCGCGCACTTAACCACTACACCAAACTGGCTTTGTTGTTGTTGTTCAGTTGCACAGTCGAGTCTGACTCTTCGTGACCCCATGGACCAGATCACGCCAAGCCTTCCTGTCTTCTGCCGTCCTCTGAAGTTTGCTCAATTTCATGTTCGTTGCATCTATGACACTGTCTAACCATTAAGTGCTTTACAGTGCATATTTTGTCACAGGCAAGGCTGAGAAATAATGAATTTCCCAAGGTCACTCAGTGAACATAGCTGAATATTGCTTTCCTACAATAAGAATATCCATGTCATACCTTTTATTAGGGCCAATAAATGATACAAAATATTGTGCATGCTTTCAAGTTCATAGGAACCCTTTTGTCAGTCAGATGTTGCAAAAGTAAGCAGTTAAAGAGTAAAAAGGTAGACTCTAATGCCAGCTGTAGTAGTGATGGATGCTGACAGGCACACTAACTTGTGCCTGTACAAGTTAGATTCCAGCATTCATATTCTGGGAAGAAGTAAACAACAGAGGCACATCTGAATTGAGAAAATGAAGTCCAGCTTGATCCAAATGTCACAAAGTGGAGACAGAATGATCAACAGTATCAAAGGCTGCTAAGAAATCTAACAGGATCAATAAGAAAGATGTACCCTTGTCTATTTGCAAATGGAAAACATCCTTTAGAGCTACTTGTTTTATACATTCAGATCAGGGCCATGGGCGTGGTTGGGTAGTTAACCCTTCTCTGTCCCAATTTGTCACACCTACACCCGAAAGGCAAAATCTGTCACACTGGTATTCTCACATATAGTCACATTTGTACGGTACCAGGTTTTCCCACCAGACAAGAGCTGACTGGGTGTATGTGTGTGTGTGTGTGTAACTGAGACTGTGAAAATGACAGGGGGGTGTGTGTGCTGCTGATCTGAAGTGCCTCCCAGCATCTCTGCAGTTAAAAAAACAATGGGGATGTATTTTCATAGATTTCTCATAATCACATCTATTTAAGCCCTCATATTGATGACAGAGGGGATGTTTTCATTTTTATGCCCTCCCTGTGAGCTTCTCAAGTAGAATCCACTGATGGAATTAGAAAGAATGGTGGACTAAATGGCCCCTGGACTAAATATTTACTTTGGTCCACTTTGTCGTGTTCTCATGCTATTATATTCTTGTAGCTGATAATGTTAACTTTCTAATGCAGAATTAATTGACAAGGTTCCATATTCTTTCAATACTTGAAAAATGATAAAATAAACAATGCAATCAATTTTTTACATCTTTTCATTTAGGACTCACAAACTAAAATTTGAGATTTTCATGCCACCAACAACACTGCTGCTTCTGTGACAATTGGAAATAGGGTTAAAATAACAGCATGCACAACAAAACCAGACACAACTAAGGGGAGAAGCTTCAGGTTATCACATCAGCTGTTATATTAAATCAGACCCCATGTTTCTCTCAAAGTATTATCACAGGTATTGCAGGTACTTAAAATTTTTTTTAGTAAGTACTAGTCAGATAGAGCACCAAGATTTAAATTAAAAAGCCCTCATAATTATACAGTAAGAACATACTGATTATAAGAATGTACGGTTAATTAGAGGCTGGATTTTGCACCAATAATCGAATGTTTTTCTATCCTGAGAGTCCACATTTTTAGTTTTAAGGATAATTACTAGGCACTTACTTCCAGTAACTCATCTGCAATCTGCAGCCTCCCATCTTTTCCAGCTGCTCCATTTGGATCGATTCCCACTACAAAAACACTCATCTTGGATCGGTCTTTGTTCCCAGCCAGGCTGAGTCCTAAGCCAGTCCTCCCCTTTTCCAACTCTATCACATGCAGATCTCCCGGCAGGTTCCCATAACGCTCAGTGATCTTTTCTAATCATAAGATTAGAAGAGAGAAAAACATGGATAGAAGTCATTCTGGACAACTTTGCAGGGACCAGGGCTTAGAGTTTAGTTTCACCATCAGAAACTCACAATCTCTGCCAGTTCACGAAGGAAACTACACATTTATGTTGACATTCTCTGTAAGTAGCAAGAATTTCTCTAGTTGTTTATTTTTCCAACATGAAAGAGTAAAGACTCTCCCTTTTATGGTATTCTCACATAAAAACATAACATCTTTTGTGCTTTATGTTATAATAATACTTTCTAACAGTAACAATTCCTCCTCTTAGAGTGTAAGTGAAACAACTGCCAAATAATAATAGATTTAACATGGGTTATGGGCGGGCTAGAACCTGAATGAACAATGCAAAAATAGACAGGAAAAATTCTCCTTCTTTCCACATTGTTACCTTACTAAAGTAAACCAAAAAGCCAACATAAATATCAAATTACCTTTCACCTGACTATAACTGTGTCCTGAAAGGTTATCTTAATTTTCAAACTTACTCCAGCTGTATCCAAACTCATCTTCCAAATCTTCCAGGTTTTTGCTGCAGGACTGCTGTACATCTTCAACACTCATTCCTGGAAATGCTGAAGGAGGAGGTAATGGCAAGATACAAGATGAAGTCTTTTCTGGCTCTGAATCTGACTGACTGGATGCCTGTGGAGAATAAGAAAAATACAGTGGCTGAGAACATTGCAGGCTGATCTGGGCAAATAAGCATGAAATGACAGAAAAAAGCAAGGGCTATGGCTTTGAAGCTAAAAATACTAAGCAACAAGAACTCTAAAATGACATAGAATAGAAAAGCAATCACAGGTGAAAAATAATAGCAACATGGAAGAGTGTAGCAATGCATTTTAAGCAAGCAGGACAAAGACTAGAAGAGAAATTCAGTGACTACTTATGCGTATACTTCTACAGATCAGAGGCATATCTTAGATACCAAAACTGAATTTATGCTCATTTTAAGGAAACAAACTACAGCTCTATATATCCCAAAGGAAAAATTAGTACAGCTCTATTGTACCCAAAGTACAAAATACAACTCTATTGATACCAAAGGAAAAATTTGGGGGATTCATATTAAAAAAGAGCCTTCAATTGAAATAGTGACTGGGGTGGGGGTGGGGGAACATGTGGCAATAACCACATTTTAAGTACACATGGACAACCTGAGAGCCTGCAAGCAATCCTGGGGGAAGAGAGATAATCAGCTGGGAAATTCCCCTGCCTTCAACTTAAACTTCACTCTCCAGGATAATATGAGTTAGGGTTGCCAAGTCAATTTTTCTTACTGGCGGGGGAGCCTTGCCGGGCTCCGGGAGCCGTCCGTCGATGTGACGCTTCGGGGGGCAGAGTTCCCCCCGGGGCCCAATTCCGCGGCGGCAGGAATCGGGCCTCCGAAGCGGGGGTTTACCCACCCCCCGCCCCCACTTGGCAGCCCTAATATGAGCGCTTTCCTCTTCTCCCTCTGCTATGAGTTCCTTTATTGATTCTTCACATCTCCTAATTTTCTGAAAGCAACACGCGCACAATATATTTATCAGGTCATTGTGAGACAGGAGAATCGTTTTTCTGCTGTTTACAAACTAATACTTTTCTCCATACCTAGGAAGCTTTGATTTAAAAGAACTGATCTGGAAAATCCCAACTCCAGATGAAGCTGCAAAAGTAAGTATGAGGTTCTTTTGGTACGATGCACTCCAGCCACAACTGCATATTCAGGAGCAACTTTGCTGCTGTTTATCTTGTTTCTAATTTGGACATAGCAGAGGCTAGCCAAATGCTTCAATCTTTTCAGGGATTTTTCAATTTACATTAATCCCTGATTCACACTTTGAACATCTAATGGACCAGATGCTTCCAATTTTATCAAGTGAGCCATTTTCTGGCACTTCATGTGTCAGGAGAAATAATTCAAATAATCCACATACATTATAAAATCTTTTCTGCTGCTACTACTACTAGTGTTATTTCCTTCTACCAGTCTACTAAATTCTGCACAGAAGAGCGATGTGAAATAGGCACAGAAAACACACAGGCTATGAGGTTATCATTATGTTACCTCAAAGATATAGGAGCTGCTTCCCCATGGTAAGTTGTCAAATCAGTACAGTACATCAAATCAGTACAGTACAGTACTGTCAAATCAGTACAGTACATCAAAGATATAGGAGCTGCTTCCCCATGGTAAGTTGTCAAATCAGTACAGTAAAGGAGCATACACTGAGCAATGTGAAGAGAGCCAATCATGAGGCCTTTCACACCTGGACACTATCATCTCCAGATCTACAGAGGGATGACAACAATCATGCCAGAAAGAACTAGCAACTGAGCCTCCCCATATGCGTCTGCTGGAGGTAAGAGATCTCACCAAGGGAAAACTGCTGCTGCGTCACTGAGGTAACATGGGAAGGGAAGCTACCTAAAAAATCAATACAAAAACATGGCTGAATTTGGTTAACAGAACTGGAGGCATTTACTACTACTATGCCCTATAAAAATTACCAGTGCAATCCTTTGCATAGTACCCTTTGCGCATTAGATAAGTATTTTGGGTGCCAGTATAAATACATATGTATACATATACACACATGCACAGAGCAGCATCACTTTGAAAGAAGCAGGTACACAACGAAGCAACTGATGGCCCTTTTGAAATGATCACATGGCCAGTTGAAGCAGGGGATAGACAGAGAGTGCACAAGAAGTATAATACACACATCGATTAGGACAGTGATTACAAATTAAGACAAACCTTAAATGGTGTAGGAGCAAAGGGGTTACATGGGGAGCAACTGAAGGTAAATCTAACTGTACTCTGCATATCCTATGATAACAGAAAATAGCAGGCTGTTTATTATAGCACCCTTTATGGCATGCTACATTAGGGCTATGCAGTAACAGAAACTCTTATTTCAGTGATAGATTAAGGATTACATATACTATGGCTGGGTTCAGACATTATGTGAAACCATGCTTTACAGACATCATGTGAAACCAAGCCAGGATTCAGTGCACATTAACTCAAATGCTGGTCTGTCGCAACAAATGTGGGTTTCATTGCCTTCCCTTTGCAGACTAGGAGGGTGTCACTGGAGAACAAGCCAGGATTAACCCAGGATTGAGCCAGGGTATCTGCAGTCTCCCATATGAATCTACTCATCTAATGCAGTCATCTTTGGAGGCCTTGCTTTGGGTGGCCCCACCATCTAAGGCACCAAAGCTTAGCACCAAAATTTAGAGAACATAAGAGAGAAGCCAATGTTGGATCAGGCCAATAGCCCATCTAGTCCAACACTCTGTCACACAGTGGCCAAAAATACCAGGTGCCATCAGGAGGTCCACCAGTGGGGCCAGGACACTAGAAGCTCTCTCACTGTTGCCCCCCCCCCAAGCACCAAGAACACAGAGCATCACTTGCCCCAGCCTGAGAGTTCCTATCTATACCTTGTGGCTAATAGCCACTGATGGATCTCTGCTCCATATGTTTATCCAATTCCCTCTTGAAGCTGTCCATGCTTGTAGCCACCACCACCTCCTGTGCCAGTGAATTCCACATGTTAATCACTCTTTGGGTGACGAAGTACTTCCTTTTACCTGTTCTAACCCGACTGCTCAGCAATTTCATTGAGTGCCCACGAGTTCTTGTATTGTGAGAAAGGGAGAAAAGTACTTCTTTCTCTACCTGCTCTATCCCTCCCCTGGGAGATTCATCTGTCTCTTTCTATTGTTGTCTTCTGCCAGTGGTTGAAGACTTTTTTGTTTTGTATGGCATACCCCTAATATGGCTCTCCTCCCTGGCTTTGGTGTTGTCTCTTACTCAATTATTTTATATATTTATACATTGTTTTAAAGTTTATTGCCTTGGGGACCCTGCTTGGGTGGAAAGGTGCCACAGAAATGTTTTAAGTAAATAAAATATTTCACATGAAACCATAGTTAAAACTAGTTGATAAATCTACTTGAGACCCTGGCTTCCGACAATCACACTAATCGCAGTTAGTGTAACCAAATCATGGTTTCGTATGGTGTCTGAATATTTATAAAGAAATTTTCCTTGACTATAGCAGAAAATCACTTAAAGGGCCTAATAAGGATACATGTGATTCATGAGTACTACTGAATTTTCCTTAGTGGGAAACTGAAAAAGAACATGAAAAATTACCCCATAACCAGCAAAGTGGAAACTATAAATAAGCCTGAATGTAAAGCTGAACAATTTTGAACAACTTGACTTTTGAGTTACAATATTAGCTTTTGAGTTACAATATTAGCAAGAGGTGATTGCAAAAAAATGGGCCATTTCTCACTTTCACTTGGTCAGTTTTCACTTACGGGCCCAAAATTTAGGAGCCCACTCCAGAAATCCTTGCATGAAAATGTAGAAAACAGCAAGATTGTCCCAACTGACTTAACAGCTAGCGCTATCATCTCAAGTCAGCACAGAAATCTGACGACTAGGGGGGGGAAATACAACCTGGTGGCTTTGTAATTTACTTCATTTATACTCTGTATTTTCCACATCATTCTTAACTATAATTCATTAGCAGAAGGAAAATAATTCTGCATGCTTTCCAAAATCACTAGATGCCCATTCATGCTGTTAATCAGTTCAGGCTGAATCTTTTATCCATTTTCCTGAACTACACTGACTTGTGTAAAATACCACAATTAGGATTTCTTAGTCATGTATGCCAATTACCTGCTAACCTCAAAGCACGGCATATGGTCAATGTCTGGTTCACCAAGCCCTTTCCCCAAGTTCCCTGCTGCCACCATGTCACAACAAAATTGCAGGCAAAGTTTTTGGGGAGAGGACATAGATTTTCTAGAGGTCCAGGCAGTCTACAGTCAGCATTACAGGCCATTTGTTGCACTTGGAAAATATTTCCTCTTACCAATTTGTTAAAACATTAATGGGGGGAGATAAAATACACATATGTTCACTGAACTCATCACACACACTCAGGCATCATCCAACCTTGTTAGTGTTGAACTGTAGAGGATCAACAAAAGGGTTAGTGCTGCTGTAGACAGGAAGCTTACTGAAAGGGTTGTGCTGCCGGTAAGGCATAGAGAGGTTCTACAAGAAAAACAGAAAGGGACTTGCTAACTAAAAAGCAGGTTATATCAAGGCATGTTCACACATGCACCTCAACACTTGGTGACTACATCAGTAAATGATGATTTGCATGCATGAAACACAAGTCACAGATCAAATACTGCAGAGAGGACTTCCATATCACATTGCAAACACAATGCATTTCAATGGAAGCAGTTCACATGTTCAAGCAGAGAGTCACTGAGTAACAGGATAACAAGTGATATACATGCATGTGTGAATAAACCCTTATTCAGTTTGTTTATCTAGCCTCTCTATAACTATGTGGAAAGACAAGGAGCTCAGATGGATCCTTTTCAAGTGATGTCTTTGAAACTAGTCCAAATTACAAAGGCAATAGTGACACTCTGACTCCTTAAGCTTAATTGTCATAGGCCCCGGTCACACGGCAGGAAACTGCAGAGGAGAAGCGTGGCTGTTTGTCCTGGGGCAAACTACTGTGCAGTTACGCGATCAGACCTCCTGTGGAGGTCCTGTGGAGGTACCGTGGAGGTTCCATGGCAAGGGAGAGGTGCCGATCACAGGACAAGCCGGCGCGCAACGAAGAAGCGCGCGCCGCGGCAAACTGTTTTTTATTTTTGTGTACATGACAAATGCGCATGCTCCGTTGGGTGCACATGCGCATCCACAGAGACTTGGACAAAAAAAACACACCTTATTTGCACGGGGACATGGGCGGGCGCCGAATGCCACCGGAAACGCGATCAGACGCCTGCCCTTGCCCCGCAGTTTCCGGAAACTAGTACCTCCAAGGTACTAGTTTTTTGCCACGCAGTTTCGGCTGGAAGCCTCGGTTGAGCCACGGGAGTGCTACGCTTCCCAGATGTGCTGGTGAGATCGCGACCGGAAACTCCGCCTGTTTTCCGTCTCACTTGTGTGGCTTCTGTTACGTGTGACCGCAGCCATAGTCAAATTAGCAGGCCTTTAGATGATATATCGTGATCAGAACATTCATATGCAGTGTTTGGGAAGGGCTGCAGATCAATGGTAGGGCTTGAAGAAGGTCCCAGGTTTAATCCCTGGCATATTCAGTTAAAAGGATCAGGCAGTGGATGATGAAGAGACCTTTAAGTGACCCTGGATAGCCTCTGCCACTAAGAGTAGAAAATTCTGATCTTGACAGGCCAATGTTCCGACTCAGTGTAAATCAGCTTCATGTGTGTTCATTTCTATACTGCAGTGGGAATAACTTACCTCTTAGTGGTGTTAGTAGCCCTGGAGCAGTACAAACACAGGCCTAGTACAAATATGCTTCCAAATCTCCTAACCATGGAGAGAGATCAGAAGCAATTCACAGTCTCATGTGTTCACCTTCCTTTCCTGTTTCATGTGAACATTGTCTGAGAGCTAACCATAGGACAATTACGTGTGCACTGATTTTCACTGACCACAGTTAACCCCAAATAGTGTTGCCAGCCTCCAGATGGGGCCTGGAGATCTCCTGGTATTACAAATGATCAGTTCCTCTGGAGAAAATGGCTGCTTTGGAGGGTGGAATCTATGGGGTCCTTCATCTCCCCAAACTTCACCCTCTCCAGGCTCCATCCCCAAAATATCCATGAATTTCCCAACCCAAAGTTGGCAACCCCAGCTCCAAACCATACTTTTGTAACTATAGTTAAAAGGAGGTTTCTGAATTATTTGAGCTCAGTTTGATTTGCACCAGTGTAAATCAACAAGACATGATGGTCAGGTTTGAAACTGAAAGGGATATCTATCTATCTATCTATCTATCTATCTATCTATCATCCCCCTATATATATAAAAAGCTTTTTGCTGGTGGCACTCTCCAGAACATTCCACATGCTCCCGAACTGGTTGGCACCCTGGTGTGTCAGTCACAGGGCATCTGTCTCCACTGGCTGCATTGCCGCCTCTGTGGGCATGGTCCCACCCACAGAGGCGGCACCCAGCATCTCGGCACCTTGGCCTCACTCTCCTTTGAGTTGACGGATGGGTCAGATGCTCCAGTGGCCGGGGGCCTCAACCTGATCGTGCTGCCACCGCAGGTGTCCTCTCTCGAGTGCGCATAGCCAGCCAGGCTGCGTGCAACCCGATGATGGATGGGCCGGTTAGTCCAGCAGGGGGGCTCAGCCCGATCCTGCCGCTGCCATCATCCGAGCGCGGCTACAGGTCCTGCTGCTGCTGCCGCCTATTGGAGGCTGGCTGGGCTCTCACTGAATGTGGGCCAGCGTGCTGCTGGGTCCAAAGCTGCTGGAGGTTACCCGGGCGGGAAGCCGCTCACAAGCCACTCCCTTGCCCCCGGACTCCGGGGGGGTCGCGAGGGGGGAGAGAATGGGAGACCGGGGGCGCCTCCGTTGAGCCGTGCTAGGGCCCGTTGTCTTCCTCCACAATGGGCTTTGCTCCTAATATGTGTGTGTGTTTGTGTGTGTGTATGTATATGAGAAGGATGGACCAAGGGGAAGGGGTGCATGACCCCAAGGAAGAAAGAGGAGGGGAGGGGAGGCGACGAGCACAAGGCCAAAGGGCACTGCCCATCTTCTAACCAATCCTGTGTTTAAGAATAAGCTTCAGTGAACTCAGTCAGACTTGCTTCCAAATAAACATGGAAAAGATTGGGTTACGAAGTTGTTTTTCATAAGCACGGCAATTACAATTAACAAGAAATAATTAACAAACAGTAAATCTGAATGTACTTGTCATTGGGATTTCCATCCATTATGCACACCAGAGCTGGTGACTCTTACTGAATAAGCAAGTTAAGAATTGCTCCAAAGGACAAAGATTGCAGTTTTCAGTCATATCTTCTGGACTATATTCTAACCATTGTAACACAGCATGCAGTAGCGAAAAGCAATCAATGCCTGTTAATTTGTCTGTTACCTGTGAAAGCATATGAAAAGTAACTCTCAATGCAGAATGCCGTTAGCTCTGGATGATTGCCTTTCAACGAACACTGGAAATCCCCTTCTACTATTCAGCCACATGCTCAGCCACAGGTTTCAAACATAAATATCACTAGCTAAAAGCACAGCTTTTGGATCTTAAGCATTCATTAAGCAGGTAGATCTTGTCCATACCACAGCAAATGCACAAGCCTTAATTAGCACCTTGCATAGGAACCACCAACATTCAGCAAAGCTATGCCATGCAACGTTACCTGGGATGGCTGATGGTAAAATGGATTATTAGGTTTCTGCCCACTGTGAGCAGAGGACGATAAAGAGCTATAGAGAGATTCTGGCTGGGAAACAAAAGTTGTGAAACAGCTAGTGAATCAAACATGCAGCTTATAGCAAATCTACAAGGAGGAAGTCTATTTTCAAGTAATGCAAGCTACTATATTAAAACTACTTTGCAAGTATTTGTGTGGCTCATGCAGTACAGTGGCTGCCAGTGTAAAGGAACAAAAAAAATCGTTTGAATGCTTGTAGGGTGGCTCTCCAAAGACAGATTCTTTTGTTCCTAGTTTGTGCTTTAGCACAACCAGAGATGCACGAGGAAGCACTGAAAGAAAAGGTGTTAACACTAAGGTTTTGGAGGGGCAAAGGACTGCAACCGTATTACTCCATGGAGGCTGCACAGCCCAAGCACATCCTGCAATTCTTTGCATCTGTCTGATTTAGCTGGGGAGCAGATGAAAGCAGGATGGTATGGGCACATGGGAGAATCCTTTGAACCTTTCCATATTTATAGAAATGTAAACATTCTGCCAAATTTCTCCATGACTGAATAAGCCATGATGTCAGTTGCCACCAGTTGCTTAGAGTCAGAAGCTTCCATTACCCCCAAAAAGCATTTCCGAAAATATGTTTTCAAACCATTTTAAAGTCAAGGGGCTAAATGCAAGCCTTATTGAGTCCTACTCTTAGTTTAGTGGAAACAGGGCTTGCAAGGTGAAGCTTTTTCCCTGCTCCATACGAACATCGCCTGGGATGTTTGCTCAGTTTTCCCTCCTTCCTTCCTTTGTGTATCTTTTTCACAGTTCACATGCTTACCCTTGGTCTGTTTATAATGCTTTGTACCAGAAAGATTACTGGGTTGCCTGCTCTCCGTATGGCTTCCACAGCTTGTTCATGGCTTGCATCTCTGAGGTTAATCCCGTCCACCTGAAATCGGAAGGCCTAAGCTTAACATGATGGTTCATGAAGCAACTTCTAAAAATTTCATCTGAGTTTCTTTTTTCAGTACCCCCCCCAAATCAGTTGTCACTAACTGCTGTTAGCTCTCTGAATGAGAGCTTATCCTGTTCAAAGGATTAATCAAGTAATGGCACATTGACCATATGGAGGCCAGGATTCCTAAAACTGCAATCTTTAAACCTCTTGGCAACAACCTTGTCAAAATTGCAAGAATCACCTTTAAGCATCCAAACTCATATCACTTGTGTCAACTGGACTGCTAATGCCAGTAGATAAACCTTTGAAATCTAAGATTTAGTTTTGGATACTGAT